ATAATTAAATTAAATAAATTTAATTATTAAAAATGCTAAATATAATAAAAGTTATTAACTAACATTAAAATAACTATGTTATAGAATATTTGGATCGTAACAGCGTTAATAGATGCATCATTAAAGTTTAATACTATTAGTAAATGCTTGTTCGATAAGCTTAAAGAAGATTATGGTTTAGAAGATCTACCTGATGAAGATGTGATATGTGAAAAATAAAATGCTTAGATTTACAGTTTCACTATAAAGGAAAGTGGCAAAGCTTAGATAGTACTGAAATAATAGACTTTCAAATTTGCAAAAATTCATCATTCAATCTAGTGTTAGGACAAGATTGGTTATGAATACGTAAAGCAAAAATAAGCTTTGGATTTTCTCCTGAAATTCATAGTCATCGTGCTAAAATTGTAATAGATGGAATGAGTATCCCATTAATCAAAGAAGGTAAAGCTAGCTTTAGTAAAAATAAATTATTGGACCCTTCCGATACTGGAACAGAGACTGATTCATCTGAACTCAATTCTCACAATTGTCCTCGAAAGAAGAAGATCAAGACTCGCCATTATATGAATACCTCTGGTGAGAGTAAACTTGGTTTAAAATTGGAGGAGCTTACGAATATGATTAAGAAATTCCTCTCTGATGCCGAAGATAATAAACACCAAAAGAGTTATCACAGAATATTTCGCAACATACCTTCTGTATCTCCAACACCCAGAATATTGGATGATGATTTCAGTAGAGAGATTAAAAAGGTGAGTAGAAATCTGAAAAAAATGATTCACATGCTCCATAGATATGACCAAGTTTGAATCTAGTAAATTATTAGTTATTTTTTCAATCGAATATATATCATATAATATAACTTATCATGAAAATAGCCAAAGCTAAAGTAAGATCGCAAAAAATTAATTGTCACCTAGGACTAAGAATGCTTGCCTAAATCCTTTCAGAAAAATATCGTCATAATTTCGACGGGTTACACACTAATTGTTAATTAGAATTTCGACATAATTTCGGTTACGACAGGTTTCAAAATTCGTCAGAATTTCGACGGATTATTTACTAATAGTTTATTATAATTTCGACAGAATTTAGACAGTCACTAAGAGATTTCGGCAAGCAATCTTACCTAGGACTAGAATTTCTTGGACCCTCGATATGCACTGATAAACTCCTCAAGAAGATCGAAGGAAAAATTGCTAGGAAGATAAGCTCCAAAGACAAAGATAGTAAATTCTTCAGAGAGATGACTACACACCCGATTGGATGGGCTATAATTCCACTTACATTTATCTCTAGCATAAAAAACAATGCTTGACTTAGCAACAATAAATCTATCACAATTCTGATCGAAGTACTTATAGTAAAATATAATTCTGAAATACCCAATCATATTTTGCTTGGTAATAATTAGTTCTATGGAAGTAAATATGATAATGATGAGCTTCAGAAATATTTACTGGAGATAGTAACAGATGCAGAAGATGTTTTGGTCAGAATAACTCTACGTATCAAAGATCTTAAAACCAGAAAAGGAGGGAGGGTTATAGTATCTGTTGATAAAATAATTAATCATGTATATAACCTTACTTCTGACTCTGATACGACCTCGAATTCAAACACTTCTTTTAATTCAGATACTTCAGCAACAGAGGATATGCATAGGATCGAAGTGGTAAGCTCAAAGAGTCATTGTTCTGCAATAAGAAAACGCCCCATTCGAAAGCGTAAAGTAAAAGGTAGAGTTAATTATTGCTATGTAAATTTCACTACACTCTGGAACATGATAGTTAAACCAGAACAATCACATCATGGTGGGATGCTATATATATCTGTGATAATTTTCCTTGTTTTACTTTTGATTCTAGACATGGACACTGATTATCGCTAGCTGATTTTTTGACGAAAATTTCATGCAATTGTTGAAGAGTAATATTCAGAAATAATGATAGTCCCTCACCAGTAAACCAAAATTTCTTTACCTCTCTATCAACGAATTTCTTTATTAGCACACCTGGATCATTTTCTAAGGGATCATGGAATTTCTCAAACTTTCGAAGATGTACTCTCGCATTTTTATTGGCTTCTTCTGTCATTCTTGATTAGTATAGCCAACAATACTGATTTTTTCCTGAATTGTCACTATATCATCTTCTAAGCATAAAAGCAAATCAAACAATCTAATTGGTTTATCTGAAGAGGTTTTATTCCTTCTAAGTTTCGCTTCTAAAATGGGATTGATATCTATACCAAGTTTCCCCTGTATAGGTATTAAATCCCCCACCAATTCTAACAACAATTCATATAAATCAGCAAGTTTTTTCACTTTCTTGCTCTCTGACACTGCCATTTGATTATATTACTGTTAATACCAAGTTTTTTCTAAATAGAGAACTGACTGTAGTTGAAAACGATACAAACGATGCTCCCTAATAAACCTTTAAACCGTTCTGCCTTGAACTTAAAAATTATGCTGTTTGATTGATTAGTCGATATAAATTAGCTAATCACGGAAATGTCTCCCTAAAAAAAGACTCTCATAGTTAAGGTAAAACATTTATCACTTTATAATTATTCGTTATGTGTAAAATTGACCACGATTTTTTACACTTATAGTTATTTTTTACTTCCAATAATAAACAAACGCATGGTTAAATTAAAATCTCAACAAACACATCGATATTCTTAATTAATAGCTTGGTCACTAAAAAAAGTTATACTGCAAATTTCCACATAGATCCAAGCATAGAGAGTAAAGCATCCAAATCCAGTTTTAAGGGTTTGCTATATGAATGCATAACGTCTTGTTATTAGTATGCACACACACACACATAGTTTTAGTAAGTATAATTAGTATAATAATACTAACCATCAAAGCCTGCGAATTTAAAAATATGTCTTTGACGCCGACAGTTTCAAATATAATTACCCAATCAGTCGGTGGAAGAAAGCATACACCTGAGTCGATGTAACATGTCATATGAGAATTGAACGCCGTATTGCTTATTTGCGAGCAGGTGGTCTTGCCATTGTTATAACTTGGGACTAATGTCTTTTGGAGACAGAGCATTGTATCGGTCAACCTAATAAAAGGAAGATTGAAGAGGCAAACAAGCCAATGCCAATTAATCATTAAAAAATGTGAAACGTTGTTTCACATCCGAGAAAAATCATGATACATAATCTCTCATAGCTAATATTTACCATTTCTTCCCAGCAGAGCTGAATCTGTTCATGGCACTGATGAATTTTTTACAATTTTTGTCTCCATAATTAATCGGATATCCCGTGGGTCCGCAATGAAATTTATTCTCCAAACAGTTCGTGTAAAAGCTACAAGAGTTTGGTACAGGATTGTTGCAATTCGTAACGTCTACCGGAGGATGTGAGATTGGAAGTGGGTTGGGTGTGGTGATGTCCACCTTTTTCTTGTACCATTGTCCAGGAGGGCACCCGGAACATGTGCTGTCTTTGCAACAGTAGCTACGGCCGTCGCCGGTTCCGCAACAACCATTTGTACAAGGACCGTATCGGCAAATTTGGGTGCCGCCAGGATTACATTGAAAAATGGAGGAAGGATCAGAAGAGCAATCTGTATTTCAAAAAAAATAAATACATTAGTGCTAGGTCGTAAAAAGGGGCGGTGGACCCAAAACACGAAATACATACGATTACTCAGTTCATAACCACACTTGAGGCCACCGACGGAATCACTCGTATCGCATTTGCAACCGCTGGTGTTAGCATAATCACAGCTAGCAAAGACGAATCCACCAGGGCGACCCCTAAAAGTTCGGGCCACGTGACTTGTCGATCGACGCCGGCTACTCCGACCCACTTTAC